AAAACTTTTTTTTTAAATTGCAAGAATTGTTTTTCGAGATAATGATTTACTAATATAAGGAAACTGATGCTCACAATAAAAGATAGGCAGCTGGAATTTCTGGGACACATAAAGACGCATAAAGAGGAAAGTGGTACTGGTGAATTTATCACTCACAAGACATACTGAAGGCAAAGGAAGAAAAAGAAAACTGAAAATAACCTACTTAACGAGTCTGAGTAAATGATTTAATTGATTCGTTTTCGACGGATTATCAACCCTTTACAGGTTATTTAAAGCCATAAAACATTTTTTAGATTGTAAGAATTGTTTTGGAGATAATATGGATTTAATGGTACAAGTCTTACTAAATTACCCATAGATGAAAGGGGAAAAGGTTGATTCATGCCTTTCCTAAGAGTATTTGCGCTTAAGTGAATATAACGATCTCGACTGGAATTGGAACACGGAGAGCCGAGTTTCAATTCCGAACTCATATCCATTACACCAACCGCACATCCAAGCGTGAAACATCTAGTGTTTCAACGTGATATGGCTGTAGGCGTCGCAATAAAGTTAACAATGACTAGCGGAAATAACGTAATTCAGAAATACTTTCTTTTTTGAGCTTTTCACCCAAGCAAGGCGACAGTGCCACTAGTACGCAAGAGGTTACAGAGAGTGTGAGCAAGAGTAAAGAGGCGTGAAAAAGGAAAGGATGAAGAGAAGGACGGGGAATAGATTAAGGCATCTGGAGATTTCGATTGACATTGCATTTGAATAGTTAGAGATCATAGCTATTAGGGAAGCAAGTAAGAGGAAGGGGGTTACACAGATGGGAAGTGCGAGGCATGAGTCTATTAGAGTAGAAGAGACGGCTACATGGCAGTGAAAGGGTGGGACTGAGATGCCGACCTAGTGGCACGTTTAAATTCATGCAGTTTGGAAACTAGCAGAAAGTAGCAAATCTTGTAATTTGGACGTTGAGTTGTACAGGCTGAAATCAATTTGATCATTGAGTAGATAATTTGACCTTTATCTTGTCATCCATACTTGCGGCCATGTCCGAAACTAAACTATCTACCTTCTACATTTACTAATCTGTTAAGCAATTGTTTCGATGTGCGCGTACACGTGAGACGTAGAGTAACCCCCGGATGAGCTAAAGGACGCACTGCCTTTGTTCTGATTGGCGAAAAGAAAGAAGGCGCTAAATTTTAAACTCAAGATCTGGCAATTCATTTGGACAAGCATTTATACATTATTTTTTGATGCATAGAAGCAATGGGTATATTATTAATGCTACACTCAACCTTTGGCTAATGTAGTTATTTCGTTCATTACGGGATGCCCTCTTATTGTGGACTTGTGCCAAACCCAAGCTGACTGTTTGGTAGCATTTCAACACCAATAGCAGATTTAACACTATTAAATCTTCTGGCTAGCACAAATAGACATTCCCTTGATAGTTTCTCATGTTTCTAATCTAGTATTCATCTAAATGCCGACCAGTTTCGAGGCTGCCCAAGTTCGCCGATCATATGCGGTCATATGATTTGCTGTATCTCTTGAAAGTAAGTAAGCATTTAATGAATACCGAATAGCAGATAGCAGTGCTGTCGAAAAATTGGATTTAACTTATGAACGAGAAACACCTTCAGTTAAACAGTATATATATATTCTTTTTATCTCAGTTGGAGACAAAGAGCAAATAATATATGATGTCTCTTCTAAGAGTTCTGTCCCTTTAGGAAGTTGACGGTCATGGCTTTTCACACTTTGTTGCATAGCCCCCTTAGTTCTGGGGGTCTCTTGGTTGACGATCTTGAGGCGATCATAATAAAATTATCTTCTCTTTCTTCTTTCGGCCGGGGTGATTGCTAGTTGGTTTATTCGGAGGTAAAATGAGAACTTCAACAAAAGAGATTTTTAAACCTATTTCATTAAACACGTCGACATTTATATCTTATAATTAGCCAGTGTGTGTGTGTGGGGGGTGCCATCCCACCCCCAATAGGGAACAGTTTCCATACACGAAAATAAAACGTCTACATTTATCGACGTGTAAAACTTAACTACCTGAAAACACTTTCTATCTCTCTAACTTTCCCAGGTTCGGCTCAGCCAATCAAAATCGACATGCCTATTTTGTCTACCATCTGATCTTAAAGGTCAACCTCAAAAGGTCTGAAACAAATACACTGATGTTTTCCTTTGTCTCTTGCCTTCAATATCTCATGTGAATGTTAAATTTTTCAAGCCCACTTCCTCGTTATGACAACTGTCTCTTTCTGATGTTAAACATGTCCTTACACTCGATGTGTGTGTGTGTGTGTGTGTGTGTGTGTGTGTGTGTGTGTGTGTGTGTGTGTGTGTGTGTGTGTGTGTGTGTGTGTGTGTGTGTGTGCATCTTACGGGTACATTTCTGCAAATCCACTTCAGTTGATTCCGCCTAATTTATTTCAGGCAATGATTATTACATTCGTCCTTGTTTTGTCGATATACTCTTTCTTTTATACACACACACAACAAAGCTAAAGGCAATAGGCGAATAATAAAACCTCGTTTTTGCGCATGACTGGCAGGAAGAGATTACATCTAAATCAGTGTCAACGTGGCTGTGTGATGTTTCCTCGAAAGTGTGAAGAAATAAATCTTTGCCGGGAGTAAAAAGTCACGAGTTGTAACTCGTCTTCTCGTGTGGTAATTGCTGACGATCTGTTTGCTATGCACATCTCTACATTTCAGTAGGAGTTACAACGAGACACTTCATCTATTTGTAGCGTAAATCGAAGAAATAAAATATTTTGGTAATCTTTGCTAATTAGATCTTGTGTTGCATTCAGAACGACGTCTTTGAGTGTGTTTTTTTTTTAATACCATGTTCCTTAAGGAAAGAGAGAATCATGGCTCTTCACTTTTTCCTGTTCTTTAATATCCGTGAACTGTCATGACATCTCGTTAAAGATAATGGGCTGTTTTCCCGTTACCTTATCAGCATTTTGGAATGAAGAATTTTTATTCCTTTAGACCCAAGTCAAAAAAAAAAAAAACTCAGTTTACCCTGTTAGAGAGAGACAGATGCATAATTTCACCAAGAACATAAAAATGCAGAAGACTAATCCTTAATATGAATTGGGCGCGGTACAAAATTAAAGACAGTTGCTGATGAACGTACATCCATTCCTTAGGGAGAACTTTCTTATTTTACTAACAGGGATAGGATCAAAGATGTCTACAGAAAAGGACCTGGAAGCTAGATAAATTCAGCATCTCGTTCTATGAATAAAAATCTTTGGAACTTATATATGAAAATACTCGGCGTCGGTATAACGCATGGGAATTCCCAAATTGAAGAACCCAGAAAGCAAACAGCAGTAATCAAAACTGTTTGAATTTATGTTTAATCAAATAGTAAAAGTATCAAGTACATTATATAGCGAGACGAACTTAAAAGAACTAGTTGACCTGTAAGGATTTATTGCTAACGGATATAATCTTAACAAATATAAGCCAGGCAGGTAACATTATGATGATGCTAGATTGAAAGAATTCTTAGATAAGGTAGTAAAGTAAAACGGAAAGTAATAACTCTTAACTGTAAGAAAACAGAATGTAAGATTGTCAGCAAAAGAGACAGATGAAGGTGTGAACTACTCAATGGAGACGTCAAAGTGAAACAGATACAGAAAATGTAGAAATACAAAGGTGAATAGGAAGGGCGAAAGATGCGGTTTAGAACTAGAATGATTTCTCTGAATTTCTGCAATGGGAACTTATTATTTACACTATTTATATTCTGGCTAGTGACACAACGCTTCGACCGTTGTGCTCTCCGACCTTCCTCAGGGGTATATCGATATGAGCAACCTACAATGAAATTATTTCTGCGATGACGACTTATCATTATTTACATTATATTGACCTCATCTTTGTTGTTATCAGCACGTTTCGGCCGTTGAACCCTCCGGCCTTCCTCGAGTGTATATCAGTCTGAGTAACCTATAGTGAATGAATTTCTGCGATGAGGAGTTATCATTATTTACACTATTTATATCCTAGATATTGTCTTCATCTTTGTTGTTGTTAGCACAACGTTTCGACCGTTTCGGCCTTCCTCAGTTGTATATCGATCAACCTATAGGGAATGAATTTCTGCGATGAAGATTTATTATCTTTTACATTATTTATATTCGAACTATTGCCCTAATCATTGCTGTTGTGGCCTCCGGCTTTACTCAGGTATATATCGATCTGGGCAACCTATCTGGAAATTTGAACTGAACCCTTTATTTAATCTACGGGGGTATACTATTCTCGTTTCACTGCCCATGTCTAGGGATATCGTCTATTTTTTTTTTTAAATTTAATACTGTTCAATTATTGCTTTCTCTTTTCCTTTATTTGCGAGTACACACTGCCCGACCAAGGAATTGAACTCACAATCACTACGTCATCAGATTCCGAAACAAACGCATAATTCCGCTAGGCCATTGTTTCCGGGACAATGGCCGAGTGGATTGAAGCGTTGGTTTGAAAACAAAGCAAAGGGTCTTGGGCGGCCATGTAATATTTAATATCCAATACTGTAGTTAATGCTCAGTTGAAGAGACGGGGATTTGGATAGTATAAGGTGGGGGGTAACTATCAAGAAACTGTTTCTCACGATAAAAGGAAGAGGAAAGAGGGGTTGGTAAATTTAACACTCACAAGACATACTAAAGGCAAAGGAAAAAAGAAAACAGCTTGTAATCCGAGTTTGTATTAATGATTTGATTGATTCTTTTTTTACGGATTATCAACCCTTTGCAGATTATTTAAATCAGAAAAATATTTTTTTAAAAATAATAATGATTTAGTGATACAAGTTCTACTAATTAACCCATAGCTGGAGGGAGAAGAAGTGGATCCCTACCCTTTCCCAAGGGTATTTGCGCGTAACGAACCCAACTAGAATTGGAACTCAGCTCTCCGATAAACAATTCCGAATCGTTATCCATTACACGATTCGAACATCCAAACTTACAGCACCTGGTATTCCCAAGCGGTCACCCATAAAGCTAGTGACCAGGCTTGAAGTTGCTTAACTTCGGTGATCGTACGGGGGGGGGACAGGTGTTTCAACCTAAGACGGCAATCTGTAGAAGATTTATTCGAATTCAGACTGTAATGGCTAGCCACTTCTTTTCTGAGTATGCCTCCCTGCTAAACCCTAAACCGTGCTGCAGATATTTGTTGACATATTTGTGTTTGCTCAAGACCCACAGAGCCCACGTGCTGTTAATCATGCAACTATGCTTAACAGGCCTTAATTTCAGTTTCTGGGATCGAGCACATAAACTGGCGCGATTGACAAACCCTCGTTCAGGATGACTTGTCCTTTTGTGTTGGTTCAATCATCGACAGCCAGAAAAAAACTATAATGATCTTAAATGAGTCAGTTGATTTAAATATTTAGTAGTTTACATCAGCTTCAAAATTATCCCTGAGAAAAGGACTCCTTAAAAGTTCATTAAGTTTGCTTCATTCTCTAAATTCAATGACCTGTACGTCAGATTTCGGCATGAATGATTCTTTTTTTTTTCTTTCACAAAACCATAATTATCTAGCAAAGTGCAAAGCAAATGAAAAGGAAATGTTGTATCTAATCAACACACAACACTTGTTTCCGTTTTAAATCGTTAAATGTTCGGCCGGTTTTCTTGGGTTTTAAAGTTTTTCATAAAATGAAAAGACAACGAAAACATCTGACGTGAAAATTTTTCAAACCCTACAAATAACCATACGGCAATTTTACTTGATTTTGAATCGAGCAGCCATTTTAAATTTCGTTTCTATTTTACCCTCTATAAGGAGGGATGAGTGTGGGAAGCACAAAGAGTCGAGTCATCGAGCTGGGTTCAAATTCCAGCTTGTACTATTCACTCCATGATAATGAACTTGGCATTAATATATCTCTTCTTTCTCCCCAGTTATGGATTAAATAGCAGGGTATATTTGACTCTTTAGCCTTGGGTGATAACCAATTTAGGAGAAGGAAAATTTTGGAGACTGCTACGTGAAACAATTCCTCTATCTTAAAGACTTTCGGATATTCATGTATATTAAATGAATTGGTTGATTTGATTTATTATGGTTTATCAACCGTTTGTGGGTTATTTAAAGCTGAGATATACTTTGAACTGTTACAATATTTGAGTGAACATTGCATTAACAATTTATTTTTAAAATAATATTAATTCTTCCAGATACAAGTGCTACTATTTAAATCATAGTTGGACAGGCTTACAGCCATATCACGTTGTAACACCGGTTCCTGTACGATTACTGAAGTTAAGCAACGTCGAGCTTGTTCAGTACTTAAAAGGATGATAGCTTGGGAATACCAGGGGCTTTAAACTTGGACGTACGGGTAGTATAATGGATAAAGAGCCGAGTTCCAATTCCTGTTGGGTTCGTTATATTCACTTACGCACAAATGGCTTTGGTAACCGTCTCTTTTCCTCCTGCTATAGGTTAAGCAATAAGACTTGTATCACTAAACTATTATTATTTTAAAAGATTCTTACATATTTTCTGGCTTTAAATAACCTGAAAAGAGTTGATAATCATTAGAAAACGAATCCATTAATTCTTGTAAATATTACTATAGATAGTAAACCTTCATATCTATGCAGACTGATTCATTCATTTTCTACGGTTTATCAACCCCTTTACAGGTTATTTAAAGCCTGAAGTTTTTAGTTAATGATTTATTGATCGACGTGGTGTGATGGTTAGCAAGCCTACCTCGCTAGAACAATTACGACTGAGTCGTGAGTTCGATTCTCACAGGGTGCCTCCTACTTTCGGCCTTGTGCCACATCTAAGCTACGCTTAGAAAATCACGATAGCAGTGGGTATGATAAATGAAAGTGGTGAGCACCATGATTGACTAATTTATGGAGGGGGGGATATAAATATCTGAAGTATAATTTCATGTGGCATATTTTCCTCAAATAACATTCGTTCTTTTTCAAATTCAGGAATTCCTGACCTTTTAAAATCCGTCCTGGGTAAGACGATAAACTACATCCGTGTCCTGGGTAAGACGACAAACTACATCCGTGTCCTGGGTAAGACAATAAACTATATCCGACAGCGAGGCCTCTGATCAAGAGGTTTTGAGGAGCATGGAACCATCTCTTAATTGCTGGTGTTCACAGGTCCATCCTGACCCCGAGTGGTAGTACCTGTCAGGGTCCCAGCTATGGGCAAGTAGTTACCCCCACCCCCAAAATGGGGTCAAAACACGATGAAAGTGTAAAAATAGGTTTTAATACCAGCAATATATTTTTGAAAAAGGAAAATATTGCCAACAATAAAAATCTTGTGGGCATTAAATAACCCATTGAGGTGTTGATATGCCATAAAACAAAACAAACCAAGCCGAACCAAATCTTTTAAAACTTATGCCATTGTTGTTTTCATCTGAGTGTTTTGATTTCGTAATTCTCACTGAATATACATGACTGCTAAATAAGATATATGCAACACAAAAATATACGTTGGGAAAGTAGGAAGATTGTGTAGCGTTAACCGTTCAAAGAGGGAAAATCTACATTTGAAAAACTAGCCTTTATTTGAGCTCTAATACAAACTACTGGCGACAGTGAAAATCGTGCAACTATCTTAGACGCTAAGCCAACTGGAAGCACTTGTTAAGCAGTCATCTTTCTTTATTAATTTCTTTATGAAAATGTATCTTATAAAAGACACTTCGTCTTATGCCAGATTCGTTTGAAAGCAATTTAGCTCAGATGCTTCTTGAAGGTCGACTATGACATGGGATATTTTGTTTGAGTGCGAAATTGATGCGTGAATTTAAGTAATCATCGCATTAACGGATCAACCTGTCGAAAAATGTTAATCCAGTCGCGTGAATAAATATTATACTTGCTTTTTATGCTATCAAAACTTGCATTCAACAGACTAAATGAAATATGTGTCTCGTATATCAGTGGAAATTATATATATATAGAAGAATTTTAGCTTTGGATGGAACAAGGCCTGAATTATAGAGCTCCTAGTGTTAATTTAATTTGCTGCATTAGCCAGTTAACCATCCCGAATCGAGGTAGGTATGCGTGTTTAAAATAAAGGAAAAAAAAACATTAAATACATAACATATGCGTTCATATTTCAATCACTTATACTGGGTAGGTGAAGCTCGTTAATGTTTTCTTTTTTAATTAGTAGCTATCTTTATTTACAGGATAATACTCTAGTTTTACTCAAATGTTGATTTGTGACTCTTATTGAAGGCCTTGGAAAGAGAGAGAAAATTTTTTTTGGTCATCTCTCCTTGTCAAGACCCAATTAACATTAATGTACGAACGCCTAAAAAAAGACGGAAGGACAACACAAACGGATAGACTCCAAAAGTGAGTGAAACGGAACACTTCTGCTCGATGCTGATTTTCTGAGCGTAGCTTAGATGTGACACAAGGCCATAAGTATGGAAACTCGGTGAGAATCGACAATGATTTTCTAAGCGTATCTCAGATGTTGCACAAGACCGAATGTGTGGAGCACTTAGTAAGGATCGAACACACTATTCAGTCGTAATTGATTTAGCGAGACAAGCTTACTAACCATTACATCACGTCGAAGGGCTCCTTCTGCGCGCAAGGTAATGGTGTAGCAGAAATAGTGAACCAGAGCCGGAGTTAAATGCCGGAAGTGGTGAACAGGATTTACCTTATTCTCGACGAAAGAAGTTCGTCTTTGTCTGTCATGCCGGGCTTCGATTTGAGAGAAAGCGAAGACACGCTGGAAATAGGATATTTGGACATATAGATCACGTGCTTCCAACGTGCTTTGTTATGTATAAAAGACGAGCTCAGTTGAAGTCAGGGAGGGATCGTCTGACACTCGATCTGCCTCTAGAGTTACGGTGTCGACCAAGAGAATATACCATGTGATCGAGTTCCAGGGGTTAGTACGTCGCCCCGTCAAATTTTTTTTTCTTTTTTTCTTGTATCACAAGCTACTTCAGCAAAATGAGAGACAAAAGTCGACTTATTCCAAAGTTCGATGGCCCTACACCTGTGTTGAAATTAGTGGAAAAAGTAGAATTAATTTGTCGCCTATGCAGAGTTAAATGCGGTTAACATGTGATTCCTCTTCGACTGACCGGCGGTGCATTCTCTGTATATGAAAAGCATAGTGATAAGGAGAAGGAAAATTCAGCTAGAATCAAGGCGGTACTTTACAAGACGTTCGCCATTGACCCCTGCATTGCCTATGAACAATTTGCGACACCGACTTTGCGGCCAGGCGAAACTATGGCCGCAATGAAGAAGCTGAGGTTCCTATTTGGCGGACTACCTGAACGAGCGTATGCGTTCTTAGCAGGGACCCTGGTTAAAGTAAAGCAGCTTTTACGGGAAAACTCTAGTGTGGACACGATAGCGCTCGACGAATTATTGGAGCGGACCAGGATTATCCTGAAAGATGACTATGCCTCAGAGGAACCTGTCGTCTCGGCTGCGCAAGCAAACCAAAATAGTGTTAGAGCTTCCCCCGGATCGGGCCCATGCACTCGAATTGCCTGACTCAAATGCAACGACCAGGGACACGTGGTAAGAACTGCACGCGTAGAAACCGAGGAATGCAAGTGCGCTGTTAGCGATGCCATGAGGCCAAACACATGGTTCATGATGGCTCTGGAAACGAGGCTATGGGCAAGATGGCGTCGACCTCTTTCCCAGATAAACATGTCGATCATCCAAATCCACGCCAATGAGGCGCCATGCTTAGCACTCCTCAATTCCGACTGCTCTCGTTCTATTATAAGTACGGTACTTTGCCGTGCTTGGAATAAGAGTAACGCCAAAATGAACACCATAAGCGGTGAAACGCGTGTATATCACGGGATGGGGATCGTGCTAATCCATGCAGACACTGGGAATTCCGCTGACATCGAAGCGCTGGTGGTGGCTGAGAAGCCATTAAACTTTGACCTGCTGCTCGATTATGATACCATCAAAGCCTTGGGTAGTGTTCTCATCACGCAGATTAGAACAGTGAAATTTCGGAAGGAGGCCCCCGTATGTGCATCACTCAAGATTGACCAACCTGACTTTAGTGTCGAATTCAACCAGCATTACAAGACCTGGACTGTATTGTGGAAGAGGACAGGAGACAAGGAACCAGCCATTCTACAAAACCTGAATGCCATGTGCCCGATCAAATATGTCCTGCGTATGAAAAAGAGCTCCGTGAATTAAAGATGATTGGTTGATTCCCTATCCTCATGGAAAACTTGAACCTCCTAAAGACCTGATCCATTTGATAACGATTGTGCAACCGAACAAGTCAAAAGTCAGGCCCGTAATGGATTACTAGGAGCTGAAGCAATATGGCGATGCATTTACGTCTGATGCTGATGATTGTGCCAGTAAACTGCAAGAATGGCGTTAGCATGGATCTAATGTTTCAATACTGGATTTGAGAAAGGCCTATTTGCAAGTCCAAGTCAGTGAGTCATTGTAGCCGTTTCAGACGGTGATGTTTTCCAACAGAAGTTACTGCCTTACCACGCTGGGCTTTGGATTAGATGTTGCACCGCATATAAGGAAGGCACTTCTCAATTCTGTGTCGTATCAAGAACATACAGTAAAAGAGGTGCCGTCATCGTACCTCGATGATATTTATGTAAACGTTGATATTATATCACCACTGCACATAAGAGCTAAACTGGCCCAGTTTGGCTTGATCTGCAAAACCTGGAATAGCTGGAAGATGGCACCCGTGTATTGGACTTGGATGTTGGAGGTGAGCAAGGAACCTTGTAATGGAAACGCTGAACTGCGTTTTAATAAAACAAGTCATTTTTTTACCTATGTGGAAGGCTTGTAGGGCATCTGCGGGTGTGCGGATGGTTCTGCGTATCGGCAGGCACCGTAAAGCGCAGGACAAGCGCGGTCACCAAGAGTTGGGATGATCAGACGCCTGACGACCTGCTTATTTGCATGGTGACGGAGACCATTGCGAGAGCGAAGAAGAACGACCCCGCCAGAAGATATTGGTGTATCCGTGGAGAAGAAATGAATACGTGGCTCAATGCGATGATTGGAGTCTTGTTGGAGAAGGGTGGAACTGCAATCGAGGACACGTGTTGATTGCGACCAATAAACGCCGCTGCACATATTAACCTGGCAGAGTTGGACGCTGTACTGAAAGGCGTCAATTCGGCTCTCCAGTGGTGGGTTAAAAAGTTTCATATGCAGACTTATGCGCATACCATTGAGTGTCGGATATCTTGACAGCCAAATCCAGAGTGCACATCAAGGCAGAGTTAGAGAGATGCTGATCAAGAGATGGTTGGACACTATCAAGACATTTCTCGCT